AGCCATTTGTACAACTTGAAGATGATTGTTTTTTGAGAATGTTGCCAATTTAATCTAAAAATCACTTGAATTTCACTGCAGTCAGAAAACTGCACATACTCTTTGTATCCAAATCCTCGGAGCCTTAGGGGAAAAAGCCTTTGAAGTGGAACGTAAGAAGAATTTTAATGTTTTATGCAGAAAGACAGAATTTAGAGGGGATGAGAAAGAGAAAAAAGAAACAAGTGTGATGTGCTTTTTTCCAGTTGCTCTGGCACACAAACTCTGGTTTTCCTACTCACCCTTGTGTCACCCCACTGGTTTCAGCACCTCATGTCTCATGTTCTCCTCAGCTTGAAACATCTCTGCAAATTCAAGGAAACACTTCTAACTTTCTCTTTCTGGATATGTTTTTGAATGAATAAGTGAATTGAATAAGTGAAGGCTGAAGTGATGCAGTGAAAAAAGTTTGAGAGATCTGAAAGGCTTCTGAATTTCAATATATGCTTTGCATATTGCTTAGGATTTTAAAAGTAATTTTGCTGTTTGTGTGAATGCAAAGCTGCTGAAGAAAATCTTGAAAAAGGAGGGAGTAGTGGTTCTATGTTTAAAAATAAATGTATGGATTTTGCTACTAAAGGTATTCTACAGTATTTTACAAACAGAATTAATCACTTAATATTTTTTTGCAGCATTCATGTAATTTTACAGGGCCTGTAGATGTCACCTTCTTCAATTACTCTGAAAGTCTATGACTTACATTTATATAAATTAATGTATTATGGTGTTGCTAGCTAACAATATTTTACATAGTTGTATTCAAAACTTTCTCTTGGGTATAGATATCATGCATGGGTTCTCTCCTTTTTATCTTGGGAAGCTGCCATATTGTGAGTGGCTAGGCAAAGAAAATCCATTTGATAGCAGCAGGAGAAATTAAGTAGCTTGTTACTCATTCCCTACCTATGAGGCCATAGATTTTGTATATAGTAATGTACATTTGAATTTTTTCCACAAAAATATCATGTGTATAATAAGTCTGTTATTCTCCACCAGGTATAGGCTGTTCACCTTGTAAATGGTTGGTTTGTGATAGTGTTTAAGTCCAGAATCTGCTGTAAACTGAGTTCTCATATGTTTTTTATTGGTGAGCAAAAGACAAGTATCTCAGGTGATCCAAGGAGGGGTGTGCTCCCAGCTTTCATTGAGTCTCCAGACTCACGCAGCAAAAATTTTGAAGTAGCTGAGCTGTGCTTCATTGTAATTGCATGCTCCCAATGCTCAGTCCCAGATCCAGGCTGTAACTGGAGGAGCAGCTCTTTGGATAGGCTTTAGCAGCTGGAGGTGGCATTCAGACAGCTGCCAGCAGGATGCTTCTGTCTCCTGAGGCTCCTGGTCAGGGCTGAGGTGGCTGCCCTGAGCTCAGAGGTGATGCAGGATGTGTGCATGCACTGCCCAAGCTCACACAAATTGCTGATGGTTCAGAACAGAGACAGGTTAGAGCATGGCCTCACAATCCTCCCCTTTTTTTAGGCACATTTTCACTGTTTTGCATGCTTATGTCATTTCTCTCTCCCTCCCAAAAAAAATCAACAGCTGCCTTATGTTGAGTCTCCAGGTGCTGCCATGGTGTCAGTAATGTGAGCACTTGGATTCCTGCACAGTGCACACTGGAGATGTGTAGATGTAAAATATCTCCTGGCTGTCATGTATAAACTGCAGCATTGTGAGGCAGTGAATCCTGATAAATCCTGAGTTTTTCAGAAAAATCTGCTTCTTTTCTTCCACTGTGTGGTGTTTCTGATAATTGTCTTGTGTCTAAATATTTTTGTTTTCAGTCAGTAAAGTTACAGCTTTCGTTTTATGTTGTTTGTATTAGAAGAATTTCCTATTTTTGACTTGTCTTGCATAGGCTGGAAAAAAAATTGGCGCTTTTATAGTTTCTGTGTGAAGGGGATTTTATTTTATGTTCTATTAGTTGTTTGTTTTTCCTCCGCAGTGCTTCGTCATCTGTCATCCCTCAATGCATACAGGATGATAAACTCCCTGTCCCTGTTAATGGGAGCTGAGAATGTTTTGCTTCTCTCAGGATTGGTGCCATATTACCAGGACAATGTATTGATTTGGGTGGCTGCCAGTGTGTGATGCATGACAGAAATGAGAAATTGAACTTTCTGAACGTGAAGTAAATCGTGGTGATGATGATATATAAATGACTGAGGGAAAAGCAATCAATCAGATGCTCTCTGCTGGCAGCTGAGCTACATACAATTTAATATATAGTAAACCAACAGTTGTTTACAGTCTAAATCAAATAGTGTTCTGTGCTAAACTCATATTCTTGCAAAGATTACTTGGAACATTTTTGGGTTTAGTATGCTTTCCTTTCTGCTTTACCAACATGTGATGCCTGATAATTTAAAAATATTGAACTGACTGTATTAATGCTTGGGATTTTTTTGTCAAGAGCTACAGATTTTTTTTCTAGACTGCTTATTGCTACTATAAATTGGTTGATTTTTAAATAATTTTAACTTGTAAGTAGAGTTGTTTTGAGTCCCAGATACCTGCAGAAGGAGTTTATTATAGCCACAGGTAATTGGACTTTACTGTAAAACATCCACTAGAGACATGAATAGTCCCATTCTCTCTTTTGGCAGATGTTTTGCAGATCTTAGACTTATATCCAATTATCTTTGGGTACTTTAGCAGTACACAAGAGCATTCATGTGCAGATGACTGTGATATTCTTTGCTCTCCTTCTCCACACACTGAAATGAATGGGATAATTTATCCTTTTAGGAAAGAGAAGTATTTTAATGAAAGCTTCAAGAGACTTCCTGAAATTCTCCTTATTGATAAGTCCTGTCATTCTGGGTCTGTCTCAGGTTATCATTTGCCCAATGTAAAAACCCTTCAGCAGCAGGGAATTCTGCTCAGTTCTCCCCAAAGCCACCCAGAGCTGCAGAGTTTGGAATCTGCAGTTTGAACTTGGGGGTGGGAGTTTCCAAGGATTCCTCTCTCCTGGAGAGTTGTCAATGTTTGCTTTGTGTTAAGGCTGTGAGAATCCAGGGAGAAGCTGAACCACAAATTCCTGGTAGAGGGTAAAGCTGAAGCATTTGGCAATCAGCTGGAATGTAAATCCTGGAGATCTCTTGTGAACCCTGCTATTATCAGACAGTTCAAGGCTAAACTGTTCATATGCAGTTCAGCAAAAAAGTTCTTCCAACAGATATTCTGAAAAATACAACCAAATAAAAAAGCCATTTGGGCTTTTCATAAACTTTTTCTCTCACATAGAAAAGTGGGGGTTTTCCCTGCTGAAACTTATTTTGACATTTGTTTTTTTCAGAAATATACAAAATGAAAATAAAATACTAATTAATTAGCTGTGAAGTTTAACAGTTTAGGTACCTCAGAATTAAATATCTTACCTTGATTAATTGCCTTGATTACCATTTACTGAACTTGAATCCAAGTTCAGTAAATGGTATTAGAATCTGGAACTTGCCATTGGAGGGCAGGGTTGATGTCAGAATATCAGCAAAACTTGACAATATCACAAAGATACTCCCAAAAAACTAATATTGACCTTCCTAAACTATCTAAGGGTGTTCTTTTGTATTTTTCATAACAGGAAATGCACTAAGTTGCTTTTACATCTCAATACCAGGCAATATAATTATTCATCTTTATTTCATTTTAGACTTTATTTTATTTTAGATTTGATTTGATTTTATTTCTCTCTCTGAAAGCCTAGAGGAAGACTTGACAAATATGAAGTTTCTAGGCAGGGAAACATAAGTAAGCTGTTGGCCTCTTTTCTGAAGGCAGACTTGTGGGCAGGAAAGCAAAGGAGTCACACAGAACTCTGGAATTGCTATCAACATGCTATAGGAATGCATCTACCAAAATACTTTTTAAAATTATGTGTATTAGATAGATTTTTATAGTTGTTTTAGTGGTTTTACAGATTATTTGGTTCATGTCTTCAAAATTGCTTGCCTTCCACTAAAGCTGAAGTCTATATTCTACTTGGACTATCAAAAATTGATGATGCACAGGAGCAAAACAGATTCTATGCATTATTCCCTGAAATTCAGTGGTATTTGAACATTTTGAAATGGTATTCAGTGTTCAATTTTGTCCTTAGTTTGTAGATGAGGACTTAAAATCAAGGTGTTTTATATATTTATTATCTCAATTTGCAAAGTCATGGTCATTCTGTGTTTTAGTTTCAGTGACAAACATCTTTAGATTAATGCATAATGAAGCATTAATGAATATTGTATTTGCTGGTTTTGCAATAGATTTATTTCTGATGTCTCACGATCATTTCTGTACACCAACTCTGGAGCATGGAACTTGGCTCAGGTGCCATTTGGGAACACAGATTCCTTTCTCATGGATGTTTTATCACTGTATGAACATGTGCTGTGTTCTGGGCTGTTTTGTTGGATGGTGGGAATTTTATTTTTCTTTGGTTGGTTTCTTGTGGGTGGTTTTTTGCCACTGATGGGTGTTGCATCTGTTGCTTCCTACATGGCCTCTTAGCAGCCTCACTGAACATGGCTGTGTTTTACTGCATTCAAACCATTTTAGAAAAAGAACTATGCTGGTTTTTACAGCTGAAAACTAAACATTGGCAGTGCTGATGTTTCAGCTCAGGGACAGAAATTGCAGAAAACTCATGCTGTTTTATCCAGCCTTGGGATCAGAAGTTACCTTAAGCTGATGTACAGTTGCTATCTAGAGATGGGATGTGTGTAGTCTTTATTTGGTTTTAAAGGTCTGTTTTGTCAATACATTCATGTAATATATCCTTTAGAAAAGTACAAAACCAACAAATATTAAAATGTACCTAGGATTGCCTTTTGAAGTTATATTTGGAATGACCTGTGTCTGTATGTTTATAAATTGTTTAATTTTAGAAATATATTTCATATGTTTTGGGTAAATTAACTGTTCCCCATGATGTCAGAAGAGATTTGTATCTCACTTGTTTGTTCCTGTTTTTATAGATGGCTATACAACAGATGACATTGAGTTTTACTGGCGTGGGGGTGATAATGCAGTCACAGGAGTGACAAAGATCGAGCTGCCACAGTTCTCCATTGTGGACTACAAGCTTATCACCAAGAATGTTGTTTTCTCTACAGGTTTGTGGAGGGGAACCTAAAACGGGAATTCTTTTAAAGGCTTTTAAAACTGGATTAATTCTTAGTGTGCTGTTGAGCAAAAACTTTTAGAAATAGGAATAAAATAGAGCAGCAGCTGTGAATTTGGAAAGCAGAGGTTTTTATTAAAGCTTCCATAGTGTATAAGGCACTACTCATTAACATATGTAATCTGTCATGTTAAGGCTCATCAAATGAGCTGTATTTTCTGTTTACCCATGAAAACTTATTAAGCCACTTATACACATCTGTTCCCCAACATGTAGGATATTTAGGAACCTTTTTCTCCATATTTTCGGATGTTCCTTTTGCCAATTTGGAGATGTGTTAGACTAATTACTTTGTCTTCAATATAAAATCTTCAAAATGCTTGTTCCAGGATTTCCAGTTTAGCCTATTCTAGTAATTGTATGACTTTCTGAAGGCTGAAAAGATGCTTTCTGAGAAGTAGCAGAAAATCAGATTGCATTTAATGAAATAACAAGAATAATAATTAAAAAACACCCTAACATATTTCAATGACATTAAATTGTTCAAGAGAGGCAAGAGTTGAATTGGGCTGCTACTAGGAGATGTTTTCTACCTATTTGAGAAACCCATTAGGTGTGTTAAAAAATTATCTTCAAAACTCACTGTCCAGATATGGGTAGAAATCACCTTTGGAGGGACTATAGAATGATTGTACATTGCAAATTCTTCAAAATCAAGCAGAAATGGGACTTGAAGAGTGATTTCTAGGCACCCATATTAACAAATGTTTCAAGCACTACAATATTTTTGGTGTCCAGTGACAAAAGAGGAGTGTTGCATTTCTTGGAGAGAAGTTTAGGATCAGGGTCGCACTGAAGCTGGCAAATGAGAGTTTGTCAGGGAAGAGGAATTTCTGTGCTTTGCTGCTCTGATTTGTGTTTTAGCTATTGATTGTTCAATGTTATGATTACCAGCAGATAAGCAACTATAACATGTTTGTACCCTTACCATAAAAGATTATTTAATCCCAATTCTTGCTAGAAATTCTGCTGCTGAATATCCTGAATCTTTCAGCTCTGAGTGCACTCTACATTGAATGAAAGAATAAAACAAAAATGACAGAAAAGAAAAATGTTTTCAGGCATTATACAAATAAATTATGGCCATACCAAATATTCTCTTTTAGGTGCCTACCCAAGGCTGTCTCTCAGCTTTAAACTTAAGAGAAACATTGGTTACTTCATTCTGCAGACCTACATGCCTTCTATTCTGATCACTATCCTGTCCTGGGTTTCCTTCTGGATTAATTATGATGCTTCAGCTGCAAGAGTTGCTTTAGGTAGGCATTTTTACACATCTCATGCAGTGTGCATTAGCTGAATGGTTTTTCTAGCTTCTGGCTGAGTGGATGGTGCATGATTTGAAATTAAAAAATATATGTGTTAGATCTTTTAATGTATGGGTTGTTAAGCTTTGTATTATATGAATCAGCATTTAAACATCAGAATTTAAATAAAAATTAAAGTGATTTCATGTCTGAATTAGCTAACTTTATAATCATTGTAATCAAAATTAGCCTATTTGTCTCAACATATTCTGTTGTTCTTTTGCTGCTTGTTTTTTCTTTGAAAAGAATGCACTTTGTTTGCTTTTGCCCATAGCAGTCCAGAACACACGTTCAGCATTGTGTTATGGATTGTAAATTGCTTTTCTTTTCAGGAATTAAATAAAGTTTAACTAGGTTTGTATAGCTCACTTGTCCTTATGTTGAGGGAGTGCCTCAAATCCAGTTCCTGGTTTCTCAATTCAGGACAGACATTGAGGGGCTGAGATGTCTCCAGGGAAGGGCAGCAGAGCTGGGGAAGGGTCTGGAGCACAGAACTGATGAGGAGCAGCTGGGGGAGCTCAGCCTGGAGAAAAGGAGGCTCAGGGGGAACCTTCCTGCCCCCTAAAACTCCTTGGCGTGGCAGGGAGGTGCAGCCAGCTGAGGGTTGGTCTCTTCTGCCAAGTGAAAGAACGAGAGGAAACGGCCTCGTGTTATGGCAGGGGAGGTTTAGATTGGATCGTAGGGGAAATTTCTTCACCAAAAAGGTTTCTAGGGTTTCTAGCCTTGGCAGAGGTTGTTCTGGGAAGTGGTGGAGTTACCATCCATGAAGGGATTTAGAAGATTTGGTGCCTGGGGACACGGTTTAGTGGTGGATGTGGCAGTTCTGAGTTAAAAATTGCATTCAATGAACTTAAAGGTCTTTTCCAACCTAAATTATTGCAGGAGTCTGATTATTTTTTCCTTACTGTTACCTTATGTTCCAAAAGCAAAACTGTTTCCCTAATTAATCTCTAGAGTATTTGTCTATCTCATCACTAGTCCTATGTGTATCTGTTTATTCTGTGCCCCTCATCATAAGGAGCATGTTCCAAAAATAAATATTATCTATTGCCAAGTTTTGTCAAAATCAGACTGATTCCTGCCAGTACAGCTCTTGTATAGCTAAAATAAGTAAAACCCCATAAAAGATGCCATTGAAAATTTGACATTTTAATGTTACAGAATACATCTGAGGTTTACCAGACCTTTCTGTGTAGCATTTTGCCTTAAGAATTTCAGACTGCAGACATCCTGAAAAACGCTGGGGGAAAGCAAGATAAGGCAACTGTAGCCTGTAATTTTTAGCTGAGACTCATTACAGAAGGTTGCAGTTTATCTGTTTAAAAATTCACTTATGGAATCCAACTACTGTTTGCTTGACTGAGCTCCTTTTGTTACAGACGTAATGTTTTTTATGCTATGCAAAAAATCCAAGTCCAAGATAAGGACTGAACAAGATGTTCCTGAAAAAGTTCAAACACAAAAAGGAAACCTACAGAGGGTGGTGGCAAGGTCAGGTAGCCTGTGAAAAATGCACAAAAAAAAATCTGAGCAGCCAGGGATCAGGTTAGGTAAGCTAAAGCCCTGAGACAAAACTAAATCTGTCCAGGGACATCAAAGGCAACGAGAAAAGCTTCTGTATAGGTACATCAGTGCTAAAAGATGATGAGGGAAAATGGGAGTCTTCTCTGAAAGGAAACAGGGGGCCTGGATAGCCAGGATCTGGAGAAGACTGAGGTACTGAACACCTTTTTAATGCCTTGCTCTCATGGAAATGTGCTCCAGACACATTGCCCAAGCTGCTGAAGGCAAAGGCTGGCACTGGGAGAATGAAGATCCACCTGCTTAAGGGATCTTCTTGGAGACCCTCTAAGGAATGTGGGGATCCCAAGCACAAAGTCCATGGGACCTGATGAGATGCATCCACAGGGCCTGAGGGAACTGGGAAATGAATTGGCTAAAATTCTGTCCATTATGTTTGAGAAGCCACGGCAGTCTGGTGAAGTCTCACTGACTAGAAAAGTGGAAGCAAAGCCCCCTTTTTAAGAGGGGGGAAAAAAGAAGACTTGGGGAACTACAGAACTGTCAGTCTCATGTTGGTGCCTGTCAAGGTCATGGAGCAGATCCCCCTGGAAACTGTCTAAGGCACATGGAAACCAAGGAGGTGATGGATGAGAGCCAGCTTGGCTTCACTAAGGACAAGTTGTGCCTGACAGAGTCTGTGGCCATCTAAAGCAGGGTCCCAACACTGATGGGATGAGGGAAGAACAACTGATGTCATCTACCTGGACTTGTGCAAAGCATCTGACACTGTTATCCATGAGGTCCTTGTCTCTAAACTGAAGAGTCATGGATTTGTTGGATGGACCACTCAGTGGATAAGGAATTGGCTGGATGGTTGCACTCAAATAGTTGCAGTCAACAGTTTCATATCCAAGTGGAGACCAGTGAGAAGTTGGGATTGTGCTGCTTAACATCTCTGTCAGCAACATGGACAATGGGATTGAGGGCATCCTCAGCAAGTTCCTGAGCTGTGTGGTGCTGCCCACATGCTGGAGGGAAGAGATGACATCCAGAGGGGCCTTAACAGGCTGGAGAAATGTCACAAAGATAATTGTGTGACTGGAGCACCTCTATGAAGACAGGGGAGTTGGAAGTTGGAATTGTTCAGCCTGAAGGAGAGAAGGCTCCAGGGAGACCTTAGGGCACCTTTGAGAGCCTAAAAGTGCTCCAAGAGAGCTGGAGAGGGGCTTGGGACAAAGGGGAATTCCTATAAAATGACAGCTGAATACTGAGGATTTAGATTAGATCTTAGGAAGAAATTCTTCTCTGTGAGTGTAGTGTCACAGTGGATTATGTTGCCTGGAGTTGGGGGATCCCTGTCTCTGGAAGCATTCAAGGCCAGGGTGGATGGGGTTGTGAGCAACCTGGTCTAGTGGAAGTTTCCCTGCCCATGGTACTGGATGGTTTTGAGGAGCCCTTCCAACCCAAACCTTTCTGGGATTCTGTCAATATGTACAATGGTTAGAGATATCTTTTGTCCACCAGGGTAAAAAAAGTATTTTTCAACTCCAGAATTTGAATAATATAAATTATTATTCTAGAAAATAAATAAATATTATTTCAATCACTAGATTTCTCAATTCTTTTTTTCCAGGAATCACAACTGTGCTCACAATGACAACAATTAACACCCATCTTCGAGAGACTCTTCCCAAAATTCCCTATGTGAAAGCCATTGATATGTACCTTATGGGATGTTTTGTCTTCGTTTTCATGGCTCTGCTGGAGTATGCATTGGTCAACTACATCTTCTTTGGCAGGGGACCTCAGCGTCAAAAGAAAGCAGCAGAAAAAGCTGCCAGTGCCAACAATGAGAAGTTGAGAATGGATGTCAATAAGGTAAACTGTAATGGGGATACATTTTTAGCATTTTCCCAGGAAGACAGGCTCTCACTTGTGTCAGACAGTGCTTTAAAATGTAATTTCTTGTAGAAATTGAGTGGAGTGGAATTGTAATGACCTTGTCTTAGCTCTGCAGAGCAGTGTACTTAGGCACCTCAGCAGTGAATGCTGCCCTCCAGCCTGGGAGGCTGAATGTCTTGTTTCTAAAGCATGCAGTCAGTGAAGTTTTACTGAGAGATGTTTTCTTAGTCAGAATGTAGACTTGAATATGTACAACCTGTTTCCAAAGGAATAAATCCAAAATGATGGCTGTATATTCTAGTAAGAGCTGTATGGAACACTGGAACTAAAATCTAAATTTAACCTCCTTTCATAAATCTTTCAGATGAGCTGGATAAGAGATATTTGCCACAGAAGTGTTTAAAGTTTGAGAAGTTTGCATATTTTCAATGTCTAATGGGCCAGAATACTATTGACTAAATGGGGAGCTTCTCAGAAATAAACCATCAATGTGCTGTGTACTTAAATTTGAATCTCAAAGTGGCCCCCTAGGGATGGAGAATTGAGGCAGAAAAGGTATTTGCCAAGATACACACTTCTGGGAAAAGTATCCATTATGCTTAATGAAAATGGGGCACTTATCATAAAGCACTTGTAATTTATCACTTTGACCATTTTGGAATGAATTTCACACCGTGGCAAATCTGTGCTGAATGCAAAAATATTCTGAGTCTAAAATGTGTAAACTTTCACACACACGCAAAGTTGCAAAGTTAAATAAGGTTGAATTATCTTTGGGGGTTTGGGGGCTTTTTGGAGGGATGAGAGGGTTGTGGGATTGTTTTTTGTCAGGGGAAGCTCTTTGAGTTGTAATTCATCATGACATTCCAAAGAGAAAAAATCAAAGTCAAAATCTTAAAAAAAAAAATCTGCATTAGAAAAAAGCAAGGGATTATTTGTCAATTGCAAACTTAAGTTTCATACAGCTCTAATAGTGAAATTTCTAATGTTTGTACAGAACCTCTACACACATAGTGGGTCTGCAGACAGAAGAACTTTTTATTCCAAAAATCCATCACATATTGATAGCACAAAATCATTTTACAGGTTATAGTTTATAGTCTTTTAAGAAGGAGAGTTAAATCATCATGGTTCATAGCTCATCCATTTTTTTTTTCTTTTTGATTGGAGAGAAACATATTTTAATGAATAAAGGCATACTCACAATGATGAGTTTAATTTTGATGTTATATTACCATATATCACCTTTTAGCATTATAAAGTTCATGAAGACACTGTAACATGTTTTTATTTCTATTGGTGATTTTTCAGCAATGAAAAACTCTGTGAGTTTTTATTTAAACTCTTAGGGTTTTTTTTTCTTTTTTTAGATTAAATTTCACTTTTAAGGTGCTATAAACTACCCTGTAAGTAATTTTGCAAGATTAAACTCGCATTTACCTGAAGTCTTTCCTCTAACATCAATGGAAATTTAAGATCCATAGGTGTCAGAGCGCCACCAATAGCTGAGGTATATTTTTGTATGCTTTGGTTCACTTGTGGTGTTTTCAACATTCTTGTTCATACACTAGGCCTTTCAGCTGTGTAACAGAATAGCCAAAGCCCAGTGGCAAATTGCTGATCATGAAGCAGAATTTGAAAGCATAGCTGGTGTGTTAATCAATTCACTAGACAGAGTAAATTAATTTCAATAACTGTTGCAGAGCTCTACCAGCTTACTGGATTGACACAAGGTATGCTGTGGAACACAAGGAACATTCTTACATTATTTGTATTTTTTTTCATAGTGAGCCTTTCAGTTATTGCTCTAGGCCAGCATGGCTAGCCGTCTCTGTCAGTTCTGCTCTGGTACCCAGATCAACTCTGATCTGGATCAGGTCTGCAATCCTTTAAGCAATAGGCAGGGAATCAAACAGGAGAGGATCAGAGAACTTGTCCTGCTGCACAGACTGCTCTGGGGAGAAGGAAAGGAGCTGACAGCTGTTCGTGTTGTTTGACCAGCAGCGAGAAAACATATTAATATTTAATGGACCTGAATATTTTATCTATTAAAGAGAGACAAATATTATGTAATTATTTTCATTTAAAAGAATCAAAAAGGGGTCCAAACTGCTGAAATTAGTTCATAAACAGTTTTTTCATAAAAATCAACTTATTTTGGAAATGGGATCACACAAAGACTCTGTCTTTAACTAGGCTCCAATAGGGAAGGACTGATTTTGCAAGGTATGAATGTTCTTTTATGATATTACTAGATTCCTCTTGAATCACTTTGTGCAATATTATGAATTCATAAGAATCAGATACTATACAAGAGAAGATTGATGCCATGAGGAATAAAGCTCAAAATATAAGGATGAAAACTTCTACACAAAACTTCTGTTGCTGCATTCAGCATTGACACTGTAAAAGAGGTGGATAAATAGTTATTGGAACTGCTGTTTGTAGTGCAGTATCTCTGCTTCTATTTTAGATACCAGAAAATCTGTAATGGTTTTCTTGCAGTTACAACACTCCTATTTAGTAACAGTCTCGTAAAACTCTCAATCAGCCGAATGTGGTGAGAGGAGAAGTACTGACTGGTCCTCTCATCCACAACTCTGCTTGCAAAATCAAAGGAGAAGTTAATTCATGCTCCCGTTATGCTGTTGAATTCTCTTCCATGGACAGATCCAGGGTGGACACAGGCATTGGTAATCTCTCTATTTTTGCTTGGTGTTATTCAGAACATACTAGGGAGCCTACAACACAGTGTGCAATGGGAGCTTTATTTCCATGGCTGTGGTATCTGCTGAATCCATTTTAATCTCTTGGAGATTTGGTGACTCAGGTGTCCTTGTTTTTTCCATTTGGGTGAACTTCATCAGGCTGGCTGCAGAGCTTCCCCAGGGTTATTCCAGATGAAACTGTGGCCACATCTTTCTTTAAATTTCACATCATATTCTTATCATGTGCAAAATCTGGTAGTTTGGGGTTTCTTCTGTCTCTTATTTTTAAGTCCTGGAATAGTCTGAGTCGGAAGGGACCTTTAAAGGTCACCTACTCCAACCTCATTTTAATGAGCAGGGCCATTTCCAGCTAGATCAGGTTGCTTAGGGCGCCATCCACTGTGACCTTGGATCCCTGTCTCCAGGGATGGGGCATCCACCACCTCTCTGGGCAGCCTCTTCTGCTGTTTCATCACTCTCATTTAAAAATGTTCTTCCATATATCTAGTCTGAATCATCACAGAAGATACACTCCATTTTCAATGATTATTGATCCTGTTTGTGATAATGGAAGGGTAGGGAAGGAATTGGGCCTGTATCTTGATTTGCTTCTTGGATACTGTAATCTGAGTAATAAAATCATGTAGAAATTTAAAAAACATAAAACTCAGACTCAGTTACCAGCAGATACATTGCCACACATTTGTTAAATCATACAGGACTTACTTGATCTTCTTTGCAGTGAGTTCAGATAAAAATGGCTGTGAGTATCATCATTTCACTCTTGAAACTTCTCAAGCTGCATTTAGCAGTTTGTTCCTTTAGTCTAACTCATCATCTTTTGTCTTGTCAAGACTAGTTCTTCTTTCTGTAAACAATCATATTGTTGCTTGTAGGTAAATCACTGCCTTTCTTCTTACTCTAGAAGAGTACTTACTCCTTCATTCATTTGAGATAGCATTCACATAATTTCCTCACCTCTCTTTTCAAGTTTTTCATCTCATGTCTTGAAATGCCTTTCTTGCCTTGGAGGTCTCAAGTTTCTTAGTCTCTTCTGTTCTGATTGGCAAAGTACTGCAAGTGTACACAAGGATAGGTACACTGAGAGTGTCCTATGTCTGCTTGAGGACCTAGTATGTCATAAAGTATGATATATATACTCTAGACCATTGCTATGCCTTTTTATTCTGTGAAATGTTTTGTTTAAGAATGTTGATGGTCATCGGTGTCCTTTTGGTCCTTTGCATTTCATGAATCTTTATGCTAATATTGTCTGTGATTCTTCAAGATGATGAAGATACATTAAAATACAGGGCCAAATTCCTGCCTCTGACTTCCCAATATCATGCACCTGTCTTCCTGTGGGTAATTATACATTTATCTGGGACATGTTATCCCTTCTATTTTAAAATAATGTACCAAAGGCTTTACTGAAATCCATAAATCATATCTCCTCATACAAATGATCTAGAAAGATTTGGGCTAGAAGCCTCTGTGACCCTGTTTTTCATTCCATTGTGATTTTTTTTTTCTTGTTTCCTTTTGGGATAGAAGGGGGCTAGGGGAGGGGAAACAAGCCACTGTCATAAATGTTTTCACATTTTCTCCCTGTGAAGTTTGGCTTTGTCTCCAAGAAGATGACTCACCTTACCACAATTCCAGTTTAGAGCCTGGTACAGCTGCAAATGATTTCTTAGGCAGACCCCCAGCCATTTTAATAAGTTTCATTTCTCTTATGAGAGCTCAGATAATGAGTTTCTTGGTTCTCTCTCTGAGCTGATTTATTCCCCTTAAATTTTTTCCAGAATCTAGGAGCCAAGTTGTTTTTGGTTAATTTTTAAATGTCCTCTTAATTTGTTGTTTCCAATAATTTTACCTTGGATGTTTCCATCTTGGAACTCTGATTTAGATGGGCTTGCTGATGCTGACCATTGTGATGAGTCTGATATATCTTCTAGACATTTGCTGTCTGATCACCTGCCAAGTTCTATATTTTCCATATGTTTTCCTGTGTTACTAAGTTTCCTGTCAGCCAGCTGCATAAGCTGCTGATTTGTCTATTGGATTCTACTGCTGTTTTTTCTACAGTTACTCATCTGACCCATTTGATCCAAACTACTGTGTGCATGAATTGACTACTCTTGAGATGTAAGTAGGGTGAAAATGCTTTTCAATATCAATTAAATCTCTATTTGTTATTCTGGATAGATCAGAAAACCTTCGTTAGAGTGGTAAAACCAGGACTGTCACTTTAAAGACCATGGTAAA